TATTGAAAACCTTCCCCGCGTAAAGGGTATTTTTGACCAATGAATTGACTATAACTCGTGAATGGCTCGCAGATTTCGGGAGATATTTTAACCATAAGCTATTCTAGCCAAGACTAGCATTCTCTGAAATTTTGGTTGAAATCGGATGAAAAATAACAAAGTTGGTTTCTGAGGGGGGGGGTCCCCCTTAAATAGAGTGAATCACTACAGCTCTAAATGGCCAGGTACATGGCATGTTCTCAGACAAATATTTTTCAAAGATTTCATTCTGAACATAGTACTTATTTTTCCACTTGTTATCACTCGTATTGCACAGCCATTACTCATTCATGAAATTGTTATGTATATTCAAAATCCATCACGATTGCAAGTTTACGCTAGTTATCTATGTGTTATTGGCCTTTGTATTGCTACAATTCTGCAAGCCATTATTCATCAAAAAATCTACTTCCTAAATCAACGTATAGGAATGCGTATTCGTAATGTGTTATCGTCTACCATCTATAAACATTTGTTAACCATCAACACTGTAGCTCTTCACAAGACTACTGCTGCTCAAACGATCAATTTGGTAGCGAATGATGCAAGTAAATTTGAAGAATTCTGCACGTACTCGCATGCTCTATTGTTGGCGCCTTTGGAAGCTGTTGTGATGTTTGGTCTCATTTGGAGGAACATTGGCTTATCGACACTATTCGGTTATGCAGTACTAGTTCTATTAGTACCAATACAAATCTTATTCAGCAGATTATTCAGTCGGTATCGAAAGGCCACAATGGCATGTACAGACAAGCGTGTGCAAACGATCAATGAACTTGTCAATGGGTGTCAAATTATTAAAATGTACAATTGGGAAAGAGCGATGGAGCAACGAGTACATGAAATACGTCGACGTGAACTTTCGCACATTTATAAATCCAGCTGTTTGAGATCTCTTAATGTTGCTCTGTTCGTTGCATCATTACTTTTAATTTCTCTCGCTACATTTGGTGCCAGCTGGTTAATGGGCCGAACTTTATTTCCAGAAGATATTTTTTCTGCAGTAGCCTTCTTCTCTATGCTCCGAGTTTCCGTAACCGTTTTATTGCCACTTGATATAGAAAAGTTCAGTGAAGCTCGTGTTTCTGCACAAAGAATCGATCAATTTATGCAACTCGACATATTGTTCAATAAACATGAAAACGTGGAAAACAAAGACGGGAATCATGCAATCATAATGGAAGATGCGTCATTTTCTTGGAAAGATTCTTGTTGTCTGTCTGCTCTCAATCTCAAGATCAAGCATGGTACCTTAGTTGGAGTGAAAGGTTCCATCGGTGCTGGGAAGTCAACGCTGCTAGCTGCTATTCTCGGTGAAGTCAATCTTGTCAGTGGAAAACTACGACAATATACTAATTCTGTTTCGTACGCTCCACAATTATCTTGGATATTTGCTGACACTATTCGAGCTAATATTCTTCTTGGCAAGTCAATGGATGAAGAACGTTACAAAAATGTAATAAAGGCATGTTGTCTTGATATCGATCTACAGAATTTTGGTGAAGTCGGTGATTTATTGATGATCGGTGATAAAGGTATCAATTTGAGTGGAGGCCAAAAGGCTAGAATATCTCTCGCTCGTGCTCTTTACGCTGATGCCGATTTATATTTACTAGACGATCCACTTGCTGCTGTTGATCCAAAAGTGGCAAAGAAAATTTTTGATGAATGCATCGGTCCACGTAGCCTTCTTCGTGGAAAAACTCGAATATTGGTAACACATCAGACACATTTCTTAGTTGAAGCAGATCAAATGATTCTCTTGACTAATGGTCGCATCAATGAATTCCATATTGATATTGAACAAACTATTGAAAATCAGCCATCGAATAATACTTCAGAAGCATACTCATCTAATGGTACATTAGAAACAGATTCATCTAATGACAAGGAGATCGATTGGGCGCTTAAAACTGCTATAATCGATATCAATCCTATTGTAAAGAGTGAGACATCAGTTGATGGTGCCATCAAGTGGAGTGTTTGGCTTCAACTGTTCACTTCACCACCTTTGCGTTGGTTTGGGTTTTTTCTTATGATACTTCTTATGTGTGCGGCCGAAGCTCTATACGACTTTACAAATCGTTGGCTCGCACTTTGGTCTGGCAAATCTTATGATCAACAAAAATCATCATTTTATGCCTATGTCTATCTTGGATTGACATTTGGTACATTGATCATTATATTAATACGTACCGGCTTTATTTTCTTTATCATGTTGAGTGGATCGACCTATTTCCACAATCAAATGCTCAGCAGTATGTTATATACTTCGTTACGTTTCTTTGAAAGTAACCCAAGTGGTCGAATATTGAACCGAGCAAGCAAAGATCAGCAAGCATTAGACGAATCGCTACCTTTGGCTTTAATCGACAGTACACAAAGTCTACTAATGACTATTGGTTCTATTATTATCATCGGAACGACTAATCCATGGGTGCTTCTGGTCCTCGTTCCTTTGGTTCCTACAGTTTTATGGCTTCGTCGGTTCTATATACGTGCTAGTCGTCAACTCAAACGACTCGAAAGTGTAACACGGAGCCCAATGTATGCATTGTTCTCGTCATCATTAGATGGCCTCACTAGTATTCGTGCCTTTAACGTTCAAGCCGATTTCTTAAATATGTTTATGGAAAGAATCGATACTAACTCACGAGCTTATTTCATTCTCTTCTCCACCTCACGTTGGTTTGGTATACGACTCGATCTCATGACATCCTTAATTACATTAGTTACGGCTATTCTTGCAGTAGCATTGCGTGATCAAATGGACCCATCGACAGCAGCTCTCAGTCTGAACTATTGTATCACTTTAACAGGCCTGTTTCAATGGGGTATTCGACAATCAGCCGAAGCTGAAAATTTTATGACCAGCGCAGAACGTGTTCATGAATATGGTCAACTTGTACCAGAAAGTCATAGAAACAGTAACGAAAGTGAAATCCTCATTCAACCTCCAGATGATTGGCCTTCTCGTGGTATTATTGAGTTCAAAAATTACACTTTTCGCTATCGTCCAGAACTCGATTCTGTACTCAAGAATATTAATTTACGAATTGAATCCAAAGAAAAAATTGGAGTTATTGGTTGAACAGGTATGATTATTTCACTTCTTAGAAAATACATAAACAGCATTCTTCGTTAGAAGCCAGGGAATCTATAGCATACATATGGGTTTACAAAGTAGATTCTATTATTGATACTGCCTCATATAATCAAGCATTCGTTCTTAAAAGTAGTTCTCAGTCGTATTTTTGCTATGCTTCTTCTTTCTTGTTTAGCCCAGACAGTTTATGCCGTGTTTTTTTTATTTCTCAACATATACGTGTGTTAATGAAAGAAACCTGGTCAAATAAGATAGTGGGAAAGGATGTCTGGAAAAAGATGTATTATCAAGCATATTAAGAATATTCGGTTGTATTGATCAGACACTTTCTCAGCTTGATATTTATGCAGATTATATTATTGGTTGATACTTCGCAAAGGTATACCTGAAAGTTGTTGAAAACTTTCTTGTCAGAAGTCCCAGTGTGTGCCAGTGATAATGGATAGATCCAAATAGAGGAGTTGCAAAAGAATGACAAATTAGGCTATTGTTAACGGTCAAAACTTAAGAAACCTCCCTATCATTATAAAATGGTACAACGGCTTGCCCACGTAACGCAACACTTCGCTGATGAAGTTTCGAAAAAAGTTTTTTTCGACTTCGATAGATCTGAATGAGTTACTAAATGCAGCTTTTAATGCTGATTACGAATTTGACATTTATTTTATACAACAATTAGAGATTGGCATTGAAAACGGAGTTTTAAACTTTTCAAGAATCGTATTTTGGATTTTCTAATTAAGAAATTTTTTCAAAAAAAAATCGAGGGACATACTATTCGATACAGAATTTTATTCTGTACAAAACAGCCTACTTCGCTTTGATTTTTGTGGTTAAGGGCAATTTATAGACTCTTATACAGTTTCCAACTTACTGCGTCTCTTGTGAGCTTCCATGTCGATGTATCGATCTAGTTCTTGAGTAGAACGATTGGTTATACAGAAAAGACTAACATTTATAAAAGTCAAATAGTTCTGACCATGTTAAGTGTCTCAAAATTGGTCGACAAAAAACTGTGTCACAGCTTTGCGTTTGTTTTTTACATTTTTTATCTAAGGAAAAATAGTTTAGAGAAAACTTTTTCTAGCGTTTAAAAGCCCGTTCAAAGCTCTACATAACTGGCTGTGGAAGTGTTTCATTTGGAGAAATATTTTCACAAGAAATTGCACTTTTATTAACGGCTCTGAAGAAAAAGGGTCTTTTTATGTCACAACGTTACGCCACCAGAAACTCTTTCTCAAAGCTCGAGACTTTTACCGAAAAAAGTCATTTTTAAGGTATAAATAGAGTTTGACAAGCTGCATCAAATGTCATTTGAACGAACTTTCTAGCTGTCATAGTTTCAAAGATAATGTAAAAAAGTGTGTCAAAAATATCATAGCGTTACGTTTTGACAAGCCGACAAGCAAGAAAGTAGCCAGCGGATTGTTTGCGCATTGAAGAATGTTTTTTGAAGAGAACTGTGACGTCAGAAAGAAACTCGACTAAGCCTACTAAGAATTTATTTTCGAAGAAAGCATTCCTATTTAAGAAAACTTATCAATAAAAATATTAGACGATAAAAAAATCAAATGTGAACTTTGTCTTTCTTCTTCGTTCTAAAATGTTCAGATCAGAAGATGATTGAGAAATGTCAATGAAACAATAATAAAAAGACTCGATAGTATCAAATTTTATAGCTCCATTTAAACCAACAAACGAAATATACTAAAACTTCCCTTGGCTGGACATCTAAAAGACTTTTTCAAGTCACTCATTTCAAGTAGATGCTGACTTTAGAGGGGATGGTGGCGAAATTTTGATAGGAAAAAATCTCGAGAAAATCTATTTTACTGCACAACAACAGTAATGATAACGTGTCTGAAAAATGTCACTTTGTTCACCCAAAACTCCATGTGTTAGTACCATAATAAAAAAGCTTTATGACAAGAACTTTAGTGCCGGGTGAAAGAATTTATATGAGACTGACGCGGTAGTGATCGTTTCTAAAGTCTTTCACAGCCTTTGTTCGAGATACCATTGTTTTCGAAATTTTGCATTTTCGGTATTTTATTTTTTGAGATTATGCATTTCGAGAATATTTTTGAGATTTTCCCTTTCGAAATTCGAACAGCAATTCGTTTTAGAAGTGTTTTTGACTTTTTGTTTAAACCGCTCCGATAATTAAATAATTATTCTACAGCTGAAATTATTGAAACATGAATCGATCATTACACAACAGGCACATTGCCTATAGGTCTAATTCTTCCAGTAATTGATTTTGAACATGTATTATAACAGATTCATTTATAAGTAACTAAATTATTCTAAGGAGCCGATTTCGTCAGCTATTTTGCCCTGTCGTTTTCAATGACCATTACATCATCAAATGTCTACATTTCATGGAGAATATTGTTTGTGAATAGTTTCAAGAGTTCTGGAGTACAGGAGCGTATGATTTCGCCTTGGTTAAATCCGCTTATTCATATATATACTCTGTTTAGGTGCCGGAAAGTCATCACTTCTTCAGGCTCTCTTTCGATTGGTCGATCAATCGGCAATTAGCGGAACTATTCTCATCGATGACATTGATATTGGTCGTCTTTCACTTGATTATCTTCGCTCTCATTTAAGTGTTATTCCACAAGTACCAATATTATTCGGTGGTACACTTCGATACAATATTGATCCATTCGAACAATTTTCAGATCAAGATTGCCTTAGCGCACTGGAAGCTGTTCAACTCAAACAATTGATGCGTAATCATCCCGATGGACTAAGCCTATTGGTGGCTGAATCGGGAACTAATTTGAGTGCTGGTGAACGTCAACTGATCTGTGTAGCACGAGCCATTCTGAAGAAGAGTCGCATATTACTTATTGATGAGGCTACAGCAAACGTTGACCATATGACCGATAGGATGATTCAAGAGGTTATTGCTGACAAGTTTCGTGATCGTACCATATTAACGATTGCACATCGATTGAATACAGTAGCCAATAGTGATCGAATTCTTATGTTAGAACGAGGAGAGGTAGCTTACTTCGATGTACCTAGTAATATTAATCTAACTTAATGCATTCGTGGAAAAACATCTACAATAGTTCTAACAATGAAATATCATTGGCTACCGTATTGATTCAGAGCTTTTCATTCGTTATCTTCAACTGCAGATGTAAATGTTGGCATCATTTTTTCTGTTATTTAAAGTACTGAAAATTCCGAAGGCAAGAACGATCTTGTTTTCAAGTAAATAATATGCCTTTTAAAAGAATTTATAGGTTTTACAAAGGATTTTTCTGGTAGGAAAGTATGAAAAAGAATGTGGGTGTGGGGTGAGAGTGTGGCTGTTGTAGATGTGGATATATCAGGGTGTATGATGTGCGTGAAGGTGTGCATGTGTCTGTAGGTGGATGTACGGAGATGTGGGTGAGTATCGATATTCAGTTGAGGTAAAGGAAGCCAACACCCATCCTCACTCCCACCTACACCTACTGATTATTCCTTTGGGATTACTCTTATGGTTTAATGCCTTAAAAATCCACTTGATAATGTTTTGGCACAAAGCAGACAAACCTTTTGTCGTGGAACGTCCTCTTTCTATACACACACACATCAATACCCAGAGCTCGCAGTCGGTCACATCCAATCCGCATATCCGCAGCATACTCACCCGCACCAACAACTAATGCCGACATCCACACTCACATATTTTCAATAGTAAAAAAATAGAATCATACATGATTAATACACATAAAATATGACAATTGCAAAAATTTTTAAATTATTATATTAATCACACTGTCTTAGTGCCAAACATCAGTTACAAACATATTTAAATGTATGATATCTCGTATATTTGTCTCCGTCATGGTCGAATGATTCAATTTTTGTCATGTAACTATATTTTTATTTCACAAATATGTTGCATACTTTATATTTCCGATTTACTCACAAATAAAAATAATGTAGTCTGTTGTATCGATGTGAAGCTACCACAAACACCACTCATATCCAAGATACTTTCAGCCAATCCAATTGTCCCCACAAAACACCAATGTCACTCCAAAGAATACCACAAAATTGTCCTTAGTTACCAGAAAAAAGTCAGCTCTACTTCTATTCAAAAGCCAAAAATATCAATCAAATATCTGCAATTCCAGATTTACTAACATCGACATGATTTTATGAAAACCAACCACAAGCACCCACACACTTGATACATTCGCCAAGCAAAAAGAAAGTAAAACTTCTAGAACACCAAGACACAGCTTGCATTAAAAAAAGCGGACTTATATTCCACAACAAAGACCATTATTCTAACCATCCACAGATACAGAGTGATACAAAAATGAATATCGAACCCTCCTCCTAGCAAAACGAAACTAGTCATCCTATGAAAGTGAGTGCTTCGCATCGACTCACGAACACATAATAACGACTTACGTCGCAATCAACTGAACTCACACAGGTTCTAAAAGACGAAAAATCCATTCTAGAATCAGACAATTTAAACGGAAGCTCAAACATTTTTTTATTTCTCACACTCAAACAATATTAACAACATGAATACACACCTAAAAAATGCACCTGGATCCTCTATATATTAATGAATGATAAACGGAGTTGACAAACTTCCTCACAGAAAAAATTAAATATCAATATCCTAACTCGGAAAATTCAATCGACAGCAATCAGGAAACCTTTTTCCAACCCTTCAAAATCTGTCAACGAAATCACTTCACTACCCACTGATGAGCTATTTAATTCTCTATCGATTGAAATAAAATCAACTAATCTGATAAACATCAAGACAGACCAAAAACAAACGAAAAAAACTAACGCCCTGTACCAAAGATTTGGCAATCGATATCAGATATACACTACTCCCAAAGGAATCTAAATATGTCAAGTATCTCGATACAGCAGTCGAGAGAGAGAGAGAGCTGTATTCTCTATCAACTGGCACAAGATTCCCTCAGTTGACATGCATTATAAGAGAGAGAAAAGAATAATGATATCCTCGTTTCAGAAAATTCTACGATGGGTACCAAAGGATAATTTTTTCTCTCAGCCCATCAAACTATGTCAACTACCTTAGATGAACACCGTGGAATACTGCATTAAAATCTCTATCGATTGATGCAATTTTTACTCGGTTGACATACTTTCTAAGCAAGCAAAAATAACAACAACACCTGCATCTGAGAAAACTCTTACATGAGTACAAACAATTGTTTTCTCAACCCATTAAAGTATGTCAACTAAGTCAGTTCAACATGCTGCAAGAGATAATTAAATTTTCTATCGATTGATATAAGATCTATTCAGTTGACATACTTTGTAAGAGAGAAAAAGAAATATCAGCAGCCTCATCCTACAAAGTTCCATGATGAGTATTAATGATTTTTTTTCTCAAGCGATCAATGTATGTGAACTGAATCGATATAGCAGCAGCTGATAGAAAATTGAATGCTGTTTCGATTGAGAGAAGATCTACTAAGTTGACATACCTCGTAAGGGATAAAAAGAGATATCAATATCGTGGTCTGAGAGAATTTCCTGTACATCGTATTGATGAAGTGTTTTTTCGTGGATTAGGAAACATGTCAGCCTGATGAAAGCTATATCGTTTGATAGAACTTTTAATTCTCTGCCATGTCCACTACAACCGAAATTAAGGAGAGTGTTGGATTGTAAAGTAATAAAACATGAATCATAGTTGTCATGCTGTAATTTTGTAGCGAAATAGTATAGTTGAATCGTTCTGTTGGACGTCTGAGTTACGTAAAAATTATGAATATTATATCGTTCGTTAAGACTTATGGTTCTCTGTGGTATCTAATTCTATGTGTTTTCAATAGTGTCTTTGATGAGCAAAACTAGTATGTTATGATTGGAAAGAGTTTGAAGATATTTTTGACCAATAGTGTAGTCCTAAGAAAAGCTCCAAGTTAGAATTGGTTTTCTTTGTCATGATGTCGCTTTTCTCTGACCAAGTTTAATATTTTTGATGTTTTTCGTTGTGTTGGATCCTGGCATTTTGTGTTATTTTTAGTGTGTGATCAGTTCTAACTATGTATATTGTATGCAAGTTTAAAACTAGGCTTAGAATTCCATATTGAAAGCACAGAATAGAACTTATATTAGGAAGACAGTCGACAGACTTAGAGAATTGAAAAGATACGTGGGCTGGAAAGAAGGACGCTGATGACATGACCATTTTTTATGTGCTCTCGCGGTCAAGGAGAGACTCACGAATACCGTTCATTGCTGAGTAATTATTGACACAGTTCCCTCTTTATTACAAGCCGTTTCATTTTGAAGTCACTACATCATCAATCATTGAATGCGAATGAAATAAAGGAGAAGAAAGCAAAATGAACTTGTCCCTTGCTTACAAATCAGTTTATAACGAAAGTTCTCAATACAATGAAAAAAAATCAGAAATGTTCTTGTATTTATATTTAAATATTTCCTTAGTGTAAACAAAAGGAAATTAATAGACTCAGTTGTACCGCTACATAATTGTTTTTCAATGTTCTAACTTAAAAAAAATACAAAGCTGCAGAAGTAGAGATTTAGCTTTCTGTCGAAACAGGCGGTAGAAAAGGTGCTCGTTTTTTCAAGAAGAAATATTTGAAACACCAGTTACTGTTTCTGTTCGTTTAACTATACGACATGGAGATGACTTTAAACATGGGACATCTTCATGTTTATTAACTGAACCTGATATGAGACAATCGACACAATATTATTCGGTTTTAGGAATAGCAGCTAAAATATGCTTGAGGCAACTAAACAAGCAGTTAGACAAATGATTATTTATTTAGAACAAACGAAAGGATTAACTAGAGAAGAAGCATACATGTTATGTTCAGTAGCAGTAGATATTCGAGCAACACAAGTTGTTGATATGCCAAATTATGTAGTTGGAGCATTTTTACTGGGGAACTGCAAAGTGGTCCCGGGACCAAAATTTGACTTTTTTACGGGACCGGGACTAAAAATTTTTCACATTGGTTCCGGTCAGTTTTTATGCAATATATTTTCACGTTTATTATTTTGACATGATTTAAGATCTGTGAATCAGATATTTTTATTTGCTATTTCTATAAAAGTCTTTACTGATTACAAGTCTGTTGGCAAGAATCTGAGTTTTCCAATTGCACAGGTTTTTGAATACATATAAAACAACCAACACAACACTATATACGTAAGTTTAATTTGTTCATTCTTTGATGATTCCTTTATTGAAGTCTTATCAGATAATAGTAAATAGATATGTATCGCCGTTTATTTTTTTTTTGACAATCGTAATGACTACTCAATATAAATAATCAATTCGATAATAAATCCATTAGGTAGAGCAATAGATATAAAAGAAGAGACAAATAAGTGAATGACTGCTACGAAGTATATGAGAATTTTTAACAAAATTCAATGGTTATTTTTTTTTATTCGAGCTTTCAGTGAAATTCTTTCACTTTAACACTGGATATAAAAGAATTTTCGTACTGTTAACGAATCAAAATCATTCATGTCAATTTTATGTTTTCATAAAAGTACACAAATCGTAAAAAAAAGTTGCTCGATTTTAGAAATGAAACCATTGTCAAAGATCGAAACCGGGACCGAGACTAAAAAAATTGATTTTGCAGTTCCCTAATGTAAATATCTCAGTTCGTGCATGTCATAAGGAGCTTATTTTTTAAATTTTGTTGATTGGGCAATAAGACCTTTTTGACTTAATCTTAATAAGTCCAATATCATTCAGTTACAATAAACACCCTTTTATTGTTAGTAATTCAAGTTAATGTATCAAACCCATATTAAACAAATTAACTATGCGTCTCTCCTCCTGACAATATTAAAAATTATAGATTAATAACTAATTCATTGGAAATGATCTTCTATTGATTCCATCTAAGATTTTCATTAAGTCTTGTATTGGTATTAATTTCACACACACATCTTAGTTCGTTTTTCTTAAAAAAAAATGTCGAACTCTATCTACATGAAATATAACTAAAAAAATATAAATATTTTAACTTTATTTATTAGTAAATGTCAATCAAACATGTTTTGAAACATTAGCAAAAATAGTTCAACGTATTCAACGTGATCTTCTTGCTGATCTTAATGATATACATGGAAGAAATCGTTTACTTCTAACGTATATTCATTATGAATGTACATTACATACACCAAATGAAACAGGTAAGATTAAATTTAATTCTTTCATTTTTGTTTTTGTTTTTTCGTTGAATAAAAATAAATAGATATGACTGCTGTTTCATCAAAATCAGCTAGTCTTCGTCCAAATTCTCTCTATTTTCAACGTCGTGTTCCACGAAGTACATCAAATCCTGATTTACCAAGTCCATCGTTATCACCTGAAGATGAAATGGCACTTGCTGCTGCTAATGGGGGTTTTATCTCACCAAGTATATATTTATTTTTTAGTTTTTTAGTTTTTTAATATGTTAAAATTTTAGATAATTCATCAGGAAAACAAATAGGTGAAATATCTCAAGGTGTTATTAAAGATGCTGCTTATTCAACTAAAACATCACAACAACGAAAAGTAAATAATTATTTGTGATTAATTCGTTTTTTTCGATCTAATATTTATTTATGTGCGTAGTGTATATATGTAAAATGTAAGTGAGGGGGGATTAGCTGGAAAAAAGGCGCTTTATTGCATATTAACTAATGCTTTATATAAATAAAATAATCTAATACACTTAAATTCTAGCCATTACATGAAGAATTATTATTTCAATGGGTTGTTTCATCAGGTGCAACAAGAGATTTTGCTTTTGGTAATAGTTGGTTTTTTTTTGAATTATTAGTAAGTTTTTTAAAAATTGAATCTTTTTTTTTTTTTATTTTGATATTATTATTTTTTTAAAATTTTAATTAAAAGATAAAAACTATGGGACATTTTTTACATACAACAAATCGTTTTCAAATTGATCGTCGTCATCGATTTTCATATCAATTTTGTGATGATATAACAACATTATTAAGATTAATTATACGTGAATTACTCGATCGACAACATCATACACAACGTAATGGAATTGATGGAAAAATTCATTGTACACAATTAAATACATCATTAGCATTTTTTATTAATGATTGTTTATCAGTTATGGATAGAGGTTTTGTTTTTGGTCTTATTAAAATCTATTGTAAAGAAGTATGTTTAGGAAACAAAAATAAGAACAATTCTTTCAATTTATTATTTATCTTTAATTTTTAGTTCGATCTTGAAATTGCACATGGTCAACCAACAGATACATCATATTATATATCTTTAAAATTAGATTTTATTCGAATTGTTTGTTCACATGAACATTATATAACACTAAATCTTCCATTATTACCATCTATTCCTCCATCACCATCTCCAAGTATTGGTAGTATGCAATCTTATTCATCAAATAATAACAATAATAATATTAATAATAGCAATATAAATACTAATGGAAATAGTCAACGTACAATAACAATTCACCAAACGGATTTAACATATGAATTTCGTCAAGAACATTATCTTGTTGGAATTATTCTACATGATTTGCAAAATGTTCTTTCAAAAACGTAAGACAAACTAAATTCAATGAGTATTTTACTTGCAAATGATAGATTTTAGCTCCTATTTAGAAATCTACATAAGAAAAAAATCATTTGACTCTCGGAGCCTTAAAGGTTGTTTATTCTTCCTTGCAGCGCTGGAACTGGATCAGCAAACCGGTACCGGACCGGACCGGACCGGTTGAAGAAGTGAACCAGTCCAGTAGAGACCGGGATTTCACCGGTTGAAAGTTTCCAAAAATCTTCTTTGCTAACCCTGTTTTTGACCATAAAAACTAAAGTATCACATGTTTTTGCTGTCAGAATGCGTAAAAAAGTGCTCAAAAAATATGTTATATTAATCATTTTTTGTGAGATTCTCTTTAAAAAGATTCATCATGATGAGTGTCTTTTGCATACGCCCTAAACTATTTCATATTTGAAGCAATTTTCTCGAAAAATCGGTTTTGAAAAAAAGTTGACATTTTTTCACCGGAATTTCACCGGTTGGACATATGATTCCAACCGGCCGGTTTTCGGCCTGACCGGATCGGTTTACTATTTCGCAACCGGTTCCAACTCTGCTTCCTTGAGCTTATGGCAATGGTTAGTTTTTTTTGTATTTACATTTCTTAAACAATTCTATTTGAAAGAAGCTAATGAGAATCGAATCGTTTGTTAGTTTCATTAATTAGGGAACCATTTCAACTAATAAATCGCTTTCAAGCTCAAACTCTGTGCATAAGATAGATCTCAACGAAGTATGAAAATTCCCCCCAAAAGTAAGTGTTTTTAGGCCTTCTCTTGAGAATTATAACCATTTTACTCGAAATTTAGTCCATGACATATGTCGAAAAAAATCGCAATAGAATATCTTGTAAAGGGAATTTGTTTGTTGTAATTGAAATTTTCAGAAGTTTTCAGTTACAATTAAATATATCTATGAAGGGAGAGGAAAATAAGTTCCCACCTGGAAAATTTTGCAAGCTGTTGCTAATCATGGTCCCATTGAAAGTCTATTGGGGAAGCTAAGTTTCTCTAGCAAAAACTCCTCGCACCTAAAGTCCACCGAGTTGGTTTCAGGCTTAGTCCTGGTCTGAAATTTTTCTGTTAACCAGATTCGAATCCGACAGATTTTACTAGCGCCACTGCTAGTAGTTCCACTATGACATCCTTACCGTGTTATATGCAAAACTTACTTTTCTAAAACGCACTGTACTGAACCTATAGAGAGTGCATGTAAACAAATGTATTTTTTAATTTGTCCATGAATGTTTAACATGATTTCTAATTAGCTCTGTAAATTGTGTTGAAAATTTTTTAAAAATCATTTTTTTTTAGTTCGCCATGGCTTCACAGTCGTGCAATAAATATCTTACGTAATGTACTTTCATGTCATGATTTTGATCAACGTTTATTAATAAATGATGAAAAAAATAATCGAAATCGTGTTGCAAGACTTTATTTGCCATTGCTTCATATTGTTTCAAATAATATTAATAAATTATTCGATCCAGGAAATGCTTCATTTGGTAAGAAAAATTGCATTGTTCTTTTTTTTGGTCATTTCATTTTTCTTTTGACTAAGAATAGGGAAGCTTTAGGAATCATGTTTTGTTTTGTTCTATCAAATAATATTGTTTTCATAGGTCAATTGAATCGTCCATCTATCACACCTTCAGATGATATTCTAACGTCAAATACCGATGAATTTATTACAGAAAATGATGGAACTTTAGTAAATATAACATTTTATTCTTAATTTTTGTTATTCATTTTCTTTTTTTTTTCTGAAGAAACGTATATCATCAATGACAACATTTAGTGAAGAAACATCTCGAGATTTATTAATATGTTTATTATGGTTATTAAAAAATATTGATTCATCTGTACTTCGTCATTGGTGGATGCATATGACACGTGAACAACTTCAAAATTTAATTCAATTACTTGATTTATCTATTGCAAGTTTTGAATATAAAGGAAAAAAACAAATGAAACGTCATCATCGTATTGGTGCTGGTGGACATGCATCTGTACTTGCTGCTATATCAACATGTGCATCAACAAAAAAAACTTCAACAATATCAGTTAAAAATCAATTAGAAAAATCAATTATTGGAACTGATAATGCAAGAACAGACATGTTAAATAGAACAAAACAAAAAAATCCTAATCCATCAGTTCATGGTAAATAAATAAAATAAAATAATTGATTTATATATTAAAATTATTTTTATTTCTAGAACCAAATAAAAGCACTAGCAATCTTCGCTGGCGTAAAGATCAAACACATTGGCGACAAGCAAATATAGAAAGGTCGAATATATACATATATATGTTATTATTTAATATTTATAGACTAAACATATCCGCAGTTATGCAAACGATCGAAAGCCGATATCTTCATTTAATATATATATAAATGTCTTAGCAGCATAGATGATTAACTTGAAGGCCTTCAGACAAGAATTAGTTCCACGAATATAAACTTGTGTTAATTACAATATTCCAGATTAAGGAATACAGACATTTTCTAGCGGAAAAATTCCAGAAAATGGTACGAACTTGGAAGTATGAATCCGATGGCGACTCTATTCAGTTATAACTGAAACTGAAAAACTTCGATCGTTGAATTTTTGTTTTCAAGTTTCTATCATGTTTCCAGACGAAAATGGCATCTTTTCGGCAGGAACTTGCTGAAAATTCATGGATCTGGAGTGATACAATTGTTGATCTAGGATAATTTATTTTATTAGTCAACAGTAATAACTCAATTTCGACTGTCAAATAGAAATCTAAAATAAGCCTTTCTAATATTGATATTATACAGCAAAAGATATGTGTGTTAGATATATATCTCGATGACAGTTGCTATTAATCATTTATTAATCATTTACGATGTTTATTTCAGTTCAATTTTGATATGTACGCTCAGACGTATAGGATCTATCTGTGTGTAATAATATATTTTTGGAGAAAATTATTATTCGTACAAGAAGTTTTTCATCTGGAAATTCAAACACAAAAAAAAAATGTTTCTATTGAGAGTAATAAGAGCATATGCTTCGTATACAACTTATTTGATTTATTTATTGATAGGAATGTATCAAAAAACAGCTTTTTTCTTTCATTTTATTATAGAATCCATTACTTTTTTGGAATAATAATTACTTATAGGAATTAATGATTAAGAAAAATTTGCTTTTAATATAATTGTTCGCGTGTCTTAAGTTTATTTCTGTTTCACTTTGTTCAAACATGCGAATAGAAAATATGGATTCAGCTCTTCTTTTATTTTGATAGCAAGAGAATTTTTTTTATCAACAAATTATTTTCATTTAGACAAATTTTCTTGTCCTAATGACAAATTCTACATCTCTATTGAGTTGTTTTGCAGGTAAATTATCATTATGGACTATCCTATTTCAATCGAAATAGTATATAATTATCATTGGTTTTCGAATGATTTACTTAGATAATTAAATTCAAAAGTATTTTAAGTATACTATGATCGGGATAAATTTTATCTTTTGATTTCTAAAAACGACAGAATCTTTACTTCTATTGATCTCAAGATATTCATCGTACTCTAAGCATAATCCAAGAATAATTTGTATAACAAATTGATAATAAACGAGTCAAGACTATTGACTATCAGATTTAAAGTCGATTAGTTCGAATATATATGATATACATATGTTATGTTTAAAATTCAATTCAACAATTTTTTTTATTTTCATTATAGAAGTGAAGAAGAAATAACAATTGATGCTCATCTTGAAAGTATTCTTGCATCAGAATGTACAATGATTGTTTTAGATACAATAGAAACAATCATACAAGTTCGTTTATTCTTTTATTTTATTATAAAAGAAAAAAAGAAAAAGACTTTTTTATTAAATATAGGTTGTTCAAACAACAGATTGTCATCAAATTCTTTTACCTGGTTTACTTAAAATACTTCTACATGCATTTGCACTTAATCAAAGTACATGGACATTACAAAATTTATTTTCACACCAACGAGCAATAGTTTATAAAGTAAACTAATTTACTTTTATATAAAAAGAAAAAAAAAAAAAAATAATATGTTTTTGTTTTTTTTAAATTTGCTATATAATCTAGTTTCCTGAATTACTTTTTGAAGAAGATACAGAACATTGTGCTGATTTATGTCTTCGTTTATTAAAACATTGTTCATCATGTTTGAGTACAGTACGAAGTCATGCATCTGCATCACTTTATTTATTAATGAGACAAAATTTTGAAATTGGAAATGTAAGAAAGAAAAACAAACGAAAAAAAAAAATTTTTAATTTTTTAAAATAAATATTTTATAGAATTTTTCGCGAGTTAAAATGCAAGCAACAATGTCATTATCATGGCTTGTTGGACAATCGACATCACAATTTAATGAAATATTTTTACGTAAATCATTACGAACTATTTTAACATATGCTGATGGTGATACTGATTTACAAGAAAGTGCATTTCCAAGTCAAGTTAAAGATTTAGCAACCAATTTATATATGATTTTATGTGATACAGTTAAACTACGTGAAGCTAAAGTTATTATTTAAATAAAAAAATTTTCTTTTTAATAAATTATTTGTTTTCTTTTGCTTTAGGATAATCCAGATATGGAAATTGATCTTCTTCATCGTATAGCTAATTGTTATCAAAATAGTCCTGATTTACGACTTACTTGGTTACAAAATATGGCTCAAAAACATTTAGCGGTAAACTAATAAAATCATTTTTATAAGACTAACCGGTGATCTTATCCTTTCCTAATGACATTTTTCTTTTGAAGTAAAAAATATGTTATAGATCGAATACTTGGTAAATGACTGGATATGAAGTAATCTATCGCATAATACCATAGTTATTATCTTTAGTAGAGATACCAAATCATATTTATTATCACTTGATGAGACATCTCATATGGAGAATACTAAAAATATTTTTCCCATCTGTAATTGTACTAATGACGCGTGATAGAATAATCCTATATTTACTGAATAAAGATACTTCGTGACATCAATTAACAAACTGATTAAAATAATAAAAATTCAATTTTCTACAGATATTAATAAAAAATAAAAATAGAACTTATATCAAAGAAAAAAAGCAAACAAACTCAGAGACATGACTGTCAATATAAGAAGAATATATATTATATTTATTTATCAAATGATAATGTTTATATTAGTTTAGTTTTATGTATATATATATATATATACTGCGAGAATAGAGTAAATAATTGTACTGTTTTGATTAAAAGAAAAATCCAATTCTGGTGTTATTTATTTTTTTTCCAATATGAATAAATAAAAAATATCAAGGATATATTTTGTTTTGTAACATATGTGTCACAGCTATGCTGCATCTATTATTAAATGAAAACTTCGGTTACCGTAACGAATTTGTCGTTGTAATTGGAATTTGTTGTTATAATTAAGCATAACTATAAAGTCTGCTCTTGGTACTACAAATCAAGCGAAAAATTAAAATTAAAAAAAATTGAATTTTTTTAATTTTATCTTATCTAGATGAATCATTATGCAGAAGCTGGAATGTGTTTAGCACATGCAGCTAGTCTTGTTGCAGAATACCTTCGAATGCTTGAATCAAAATCATATATGCCTGATGGTTGTGTTGCTTTACAAGTTTGTAAAAAAAAAATAATAAAAAATTTAAAAAAAGACAAATTTTTATTTTCTTTAGAAAATTTCAATGAATTTATTAGAAGAAAGTGCTGTTAGTGATGATGTTGTATCACCAGGAGATGAAGGTATTTGTACGGGAAAATATTTTACAGAAAATGGTTTTATTGGTTTAATGGAACAAGCAGCAGTTTTTCTTACTCATGTTCGTATTTTCGTGTTTTTTTTCTTATATTGATTTATTGATTTGTTTTTTTAAAAGGCACATATGTACGAAGCTGTCAATAATATTTATCATGTATTAACACCAATCTATGAAGCCAATCGTGATTTTAAAAAACTGTCTCAAGTGCATAGTAAATTACATGAATATTTTAATCGAATACTTGTTCAAGTAAGAATTAAAAACAAAAACAATTTCTTTTTTCTCATTATTTTAAAATATAAATTGAACGAGTTTTTTTTTTTTTTTTGTTTACTAGGGAAATAAACGTTTATTTGGTACATATTTTCGTGTTGGATTTTATGGAACAAAATTTGATGAACTTGATGGACAAGAATTTATTTATAAAGAACCAGGAATAACAAAATTAGCCGAGATAGCTTCTCGACTTGAAGTATGTTTAATTAAAGAGTTTTTTTTTTAAATTTTTTCTTCATATTTATCTTGAATAATTTCTTCTTCGATTTCTTTTTAGTCATTCTATATTGATAAATTTGGTAAAACTCAAGTTGAAATGATTAAAGATTCCAATGATGTTAATCGTGCTTCACTTGATTTAGCCAATAAGGTAAAATACACATATATTTATATATGTGTGCGTATATTAAAAAGAAGAAAAAATATAGAAGTAAAACCATCGATCATCACCATCATCTTGCACAAGAAAAAAAAGAACGCTACGCATACACACACATTAGAAAACGCACTCTGATTTAAGAAAAAAAAGACAAAGCGAGAAAAAAAAAAGAAACGAGATAGAGTTAGCAAGAAAGGAGAAAATGACAAAAAAAGAAAAGAAATTTTTTTTTTTCAAACACTTGGCACTGGTTGATATTTCGGGTCTGGTGATATGCCTTTGGTTACTACTGCTTTCGTGGCAGTTGTTGAACCAGATCCTGTCGATGGTTTTTTCGTTGTCTTAAATTTCTTACCGACAACTAAAATCAAAATGACAATAAGGATCGCAAGGATGCAGAGTGCAATTAAACCAACAAATACTAATTTTTGCGTGGACCAACCTAAAATCATAAAAAACGAATAGATTAATTATTAAAAATAGAAAACAAATAGAAAATATTATTTTCTTTAAGAAAAAAAAAATATTTAGCTTTAGATTTGGATTTTGTTCTATGTTAATGAGATTGTTTATAGAATGAATCATTAATATAAAGGTCGACTGTGGTAATATAAAAAAAAGTAAAGTCTGTGGTTTTTATCAAGAATATTTAGAGAATAAAGTAAAATTCTTTTTTATCTGTTGAACTTTGTTTTTAAAGATAACACAAATAATTTGATAAAACACAAAAGAAAAAGAAAACCATTAGAAGAACTTTTTACTTTTTATGCGTATTCATTCATTACTGTAGGGTTTTTTATTCTTTTCTTTTTTTTGTTAACATTGTTTTAAATTACTTATTCGATCGAAGAACAGATAAGAAAAAGACATATTCGTGCAGAATAGTTTTTGTTGCGTTCTGTCTCGACTCTCAAGGTTTGTCTATTTGTAACTAAGCGAAAAACGACAACTGTAAGTCAATTGAAAAATGAGCTCATGAAATTATTGGTGGTACTGTCTTTGGCCTTGCTGTTGACGTTCTTCTTTAGACATGAGTTTCTTCTCCTAATCGACTATTATCTTTGTCTAACTCATTCTTCTCAGATATGTAAACAGAATTGGTAACGAAGACCTTGTATACATCGGCAGATTCTTTGTCTTCATCGCTTCTCGCTCTATCTTCTTTTTTTTTTTACATGTTATCGGTAACTAGTTATTTTTGCTTGCTGCAATGGCATACACACATTTACACACGCACATATGCCTATATTTCTCTTTTTCCCTTCCTGCTGCAAGTTTTGTTCTATTTATTTTTGCTTGATAAACTTACCCCACCATCGTTTGCCACCCGTAATAGCTTCGGGAGTACTAGTGCTCAATTCATCAACCGCTGTTGTTACATACTCATTGATCTTGTCAATAATTGTTGATGTTTTTGATGGTATCATACTATCCTGAATATCTGTTATAGCTGCATCAACTATACTGGTTGATAGTGTAACACCACCTTCAGGTTGTTCATTGACAACTAAATTGACGACATAATCTTCAATTGGTTCTTCAACATAATCTTCTGCTACAGTAGTAGTTTTAATACTTTCAGCAACGACTGTTGTTGCTACATCATCATCATAAGATAAATCACTTCCGTCATCATTTCCATTTCTTTCATTTGATGCGGATTGATCGTCAGCCATAGAATAAGATGGATAACGGCAGCAATAGACACTACGGAAAACAGATCTAAAAAAGAATTCGAAAGAAAAGAAAAACCGCAGATACGACAGCAATCTTGTACATATCAATGAGAAAAGGACAGAATAAAAGAAAAAAAAGAAATATCTACATCAAGAAAGATAATATAATCATCAGGGAACAGTTCTATGTTATGACAAATATGCTAGTAAGCTTTAGATCTTGGAAGTATGCCGAGGCAAAAAAAAATAAAAGACCTTTTTCTCTCTTTCTCTCTTTCTCTCTTATTATCTCATGCAGGTATGCTGCTGTATACGTCATCAATGACAGACATAAATAGAACAATCATAATTTGGTTCAGGCAATAGATCATTATTGATTAGCTTATAAAACGATAATAAATATAGATAAATGAAAATAAGAAACAAAAAAAAAATAAAATAAATAAAAGGGAACAAATAATCAATTCAAAGTCATGTAATCGGAATGAAATTGGAGTGCTACTTGTACTTTTCATTATCATATTTCTCACTAACCACATCGTAGATCAGTAAATGTAGTCTGTATGCGTGACTGAATGTATGTGTTTAGTATATGCGTTATTATCTGCATCACGTACAGAAAAAGCGGCGAAGAGAAAGAGGAAAAAAAAGGAGGGATTTTTGTGCGCCATCCGACGACGGCAATGGCAACCAGGGAACGATATTTATTTTTTAAAATAAATCGTCTCCATCAATGTCTTTCCTTCTCGCATTTTTTTCGTGTGTATTTATATGTGTATGCACACCCTGCTCTACAACCGTCGCCATCACTCTATGATTATTTACTTCAAACGCAAGAGCTGTTTTTTTTTTTTTTTTTTTTTTGTGCGAGCGATGTATCAAATCATTGTACATAGTCATGTAAAGAAAATGCAGAAGCCTTCAAAAAAAAGGAACAAAAAAAAGAATGATGATGCGATGAATATAAAATAGCGAAAAAAATAGGAGAAGACCCAAGTAATCGTTGTTTTTGTATACATATACAAGTTACCTTTTACGTGTTCTATAGATTCTCTTATTATTTTTTTAATGATATAGTGTTTTTTATAATGTTTTCCTCATGAAAATAAAGAAAAATATACTGAAGTCAAATGAAAGCAAAAAAAGTGGCATTGAAAGTAGCATCTGCTATCTTTTTTTTTCTGCCTGTCATCGACAATGTTACGCATAAATTATATCACCTCCCTTTCTCTCTTTGCCTTTCTTATTTACCATGAATTTATCTATCCTAAATATAGATTAAATGGCGATCAATACTATATAGAAAGCGTAAAGCAAAATATATATTATATATCTATCTATAAAAATATATATAATTTTGGTTGTCTTCACCTGTTTCTGTTTTACTACTAATTTGCCTTTATATATGTATTTATATATATTTATATATATATATGTAGGAAGACCGAATTGTACACTAGCCCATTAAGAATAATGATTAATGTAACAATGAGAATGTGTAGGAATCTGTATATTATTCATTTTATTTTTTTTTGTTCTACTCATTTTTTTTTTCGTCTTAGTATTTTATTTTTTATGTGGCCTTACCTGTACTCTGTAGGTGGTTCGAATGTAAAAAAATACCTCAATACGACTACGAATAAAGTAGACAATGAAAGAACGAAAAAAGAAAAAAGAAAAAAAAAAGAGAAATGGAGACAAGGAGAAATAATAAAAAGGAAAATAAGACTAAGTCTTACACCAACATAAACTAGACGCGTTGAGATTTACAACTAGATGCATAATAATGAAGAATCATCAGAATGAGTAATAGGAAATAAGATTGTAGCGCATAGCATAACCAAGAAAAGCAGAAGCACACACTACTATTACTGGTATAAATTAGCCATTTGTGGCTTATTTATTGTTTTCCAGCACGGTGCCTTTCCACTTTTTCTTCTTCTTTTTCTGTCAAGTACGAATCCTTGTCGTTAGGTATTGAATGATGCATCCTATAGAATGCCGAGATTTCTCTTGTTGTTGTTATTATGATGGGGTTAGATGCCGATTGCTTGTACATACAACATCATCAATTCCGCTTGATATCGCGCCTGTGCGAGAGACGACGAATGAAGGTCATCATTATCATCATCGATAGCAGCAACAATGATGACGACAACAGCGATGATGGCAGCAGTTTTTTTTTTCCGTGCTATCCTTGCTAAAGCAACAGGAGCAAGCAACAAGTAACAGGGGAATAACCTAGCAAACAAGGCAATCAAATTAAGAGCAAACCGTTGAAGCAATGAAGCGTTGTTGAGCGTCAGATGCTGTTGAAAACTGAGACATAGAAACAAATATAGGAAAATAAAGATACTTTTTCTCATATACAATCCCATCATCAATATATTATATTAAGCAGTAAAAAAAAAGGAGCATTAAATTGACAGATAGAAGAAATTTCTTTTTTATTTACCTTAACCATTTCTCTTAGGGTTGTTTCAAGTAATCAGAATAGAGTAAAAAAAAGGGACGGAATAAATATAAAACACCATCTGGCTACGAATCGATTTTTTAAGAGCTAAGTGCTTTTTCAACGATTGAGAAGGTTGTATCATGTACGAATAAGAGAAGGTCTCTGCTTATGATTCTCTTTTCTTTTTTTCGTGTTGTGGTTTTGTTCTTTCCGTTTTTTTTTATTCCTTCTTTTTTTTTCTTTCTCTTTCTGTTGTTTTTTTTTTTCTATTAGTAATCGACCAACCGCGGAGACGTTGATGTTTCGAGAAAGAGTCAGCTATGGTAACTTTCATTTGTTGTTTAAGAAACCTGTGTAAATTTGCCATTTTGACACGAACAATTGGATATGGTCAATAAAAAAAAAAAGAAAAAAACAACATCAAATAAACTTACGTCATGATTATTTTTAAGGCTTTAAAAATATTTAACCTTGTAAATACCTTTATTTGATTAAGGGGTTTTCTTTACATGGAAAATATTAAGAATCGTTCATTTCCTTGAGGTTCTAGAAAAAGGAAATTTGTCGATTTAGATTGCCTAAGGCTAAATGATGTAGAACATGCTAAATGTCATGGTAATGGCGATAATCATACCAAGATTTTCTTCTATAGATATATATATATATCTTGGGTTTTTTCTTCATTAATGAAAGAGATATCCTTGATTATTTTTAGAGTTATTAATTAAATATTTAAAAAAATAATAGAAAATCAACTAAAGAAATCGTAACTCTAAAAAACAATTTATCAAATCCAATACGAATGTTGAAAAAGTTTTATAGTCGAAAAATTTTCAATAATATTAACAGTGAATATGTAGATGAATAATTAGAAATTTTCTAATATTGTGTTTTTTTTGTAGTGAATTATTTTTTTTAAAAGTTCAGATCTATTTATTTAACCCTTAGCCTTTTTCTGATCTAACATTGGTAGTCAATAATAAATGAATTAGATAATATATCATCATTCGATTACTAGATAATCACTTTTACATATTGTTTCGTCTATCTATGAAATTATTCATTTTCGTTATGTTTATCTTATAAGTGTGTTTATAGAAAAGTGTTTTTTTTTTCTTTTTTCGACTTCAATTGATTTTCTTTATGGTTGTCATGTTTCGATTTGTTACCATTCGTTGTTCTTGTCTATCACAGATAAGAATAAACATGAAATGAGCTTTCCATACTTGATGATAATATCGATTAGCATGCATTACTAATTCTTATGTACATGTATACAATCCTATGAAATATCAGTGAATGATTAACACTTTAAGTATGTAGGAAAGGAAAAAAACTTCAAAGTAACATAAAATAGATCAAGTATGATATTCTTATCATATAATCATATTCCTAAGAGACCATAAAAATTGCTTATTGATATTTTTCATAATCTTTTCATTTTTCTTTTTGTTTGAAAAAAAAAAAGGTTTATATTCAAGTAACTTATGTCGAACCATATTTCGATACATCGGAATTACAACATCGTCCAACACATTTCGATCGAAATTATAACCTTAGTAAATTATAACTTTTCTATATGCTTTTTTTCCTTGAAAAGACAAAAAAATCTAATTAATAATTTAGAACGTTTTATGTATGCATCACCATTTACAATGGATACAAATCGTGCACACGGTTCCTTAGATGAACAATATAAACGTAAAACAATTTTAACTGTTGAACGTGCTTTTCCATATGTTAAAACACGTACTGGAATAATCGATCGTGAACGCTTAATTTTAAGTCCAATTGAAGTTGCTATAGAAGATTTACAAAAGAAAACTGATGAATTACGTATGGCTATACAACAAGAACCAGCTGATCCTAAAATTCTTCAAATGGTTATACAAGGTTGTATAAGTACTGCTGTTAATCAAGGTCCATTAGAAGTCGCAAATATATTTTTAAATCCAATTATGAATGGATTAGAATTACCTAATATTCATCATAATCGTTTAAGATTATGTTTTAAAGAATTTACTCGAAGGTAGTTTTTTTTTTGTTTTAAATAAAATCTTCAAAAATTATTTTTCCTTTTATTTTCTTTTTCTTTTAAAGACTTGCTGAAGCATTAAAACGAAATAAAACATTAATTCAAGCTGATCAACGTGAATATCAAAAAGATCTTGAAAATAAATTTACAAAATTTACTGAAAGTCTTCAACCACTTGTATCTGCATGTAAGCAATCAACAATTACTGAAACAAGTTTAACAAATAATAAAAGGTATAATTATATATATATATATATATTAAAAAGAATATTTCAATAGAAAAATAAATCATGCAAATTATTTCAGAAACAAACGTCGATATCAATTAGTTACTCTAGGTTCTTTTGTTTGAATAAATAAAAAAGAAAACTCTTTACTTACAAATGCTTCTAATGCCTAATGACCGACATTTTCTTTCTTTGCGCTTTTGCTTTTGAATTAACTTTTGCAAAGAAATACTTCTATTTTAAATGATAAATAATTTATTTGACTTTTTTTTATCATTTTAGT